ATGTCTGGGTTGCGCGGCCTGTGTTTCTCTCAACCAACTGGCGCGTCGCAACTGCCTGGACCCCAAATATGAAATTGACAGTCGAGGGCCTTTTGTGAAAAGCCAGGCCCGCCTTCACTTAGGGCGGACACCTCCGCCTTCACTTAGGGCGGGTAATGCTGCAAGCAGGGCCCCATAGGCCTACCGAGGACCCTGATCCTCGCACTAGTGCTGCAGAAGGGGGATTGACCCCTCCTGGGACTCAAAAGAGTCGTAAGAAGGGGTCGGGGGGGGGCTGCGCTTTTGGATCAAACCAAAGGGGTGAGAGCGCAGGCCCAAAGAGATATCTGTTGTCATTGAAATCGAAAATGATGAAGTTGGGGACATCAGCCCAGTCTTGAGCCAAGAAGGATTGTGGGTGTACCAACTGAGCTAGGCCCAGTGGTGGCGGATCCTTTTGCATTACCTCAGACTCTTCAAAAAGACCCCCCTGTCTCTTACAACCACTAGACCGCAGCGGGGCAAAGGATGTTAAATTTAAAAAATTAAAAAAAAAGGACCCCACTGGATCTTCTCTAAGTCTTTTCTTTTTTTCATGTCCATGCTATGTAGCCAGCCACATAAGCACTTCAAAAATCCATGACTGTGCTGAGCATGGTTTACAACTATAGGTATAGTCATGGCAAATAGTAACTGGCATGTACACATGATAGCCAGGATGTTAGATAGGATTAAACAGCAAAACAAATGCATTTTGGTCATATCACCCCCAGTAGTAAAAAAAAAAAAAAAAAAAAAAAAAAAGTTATGTCTCGCAATCAGTCCCCTGACATGCGTGCTATATACCTAGGCATGTACACAGTAGCTATTTACATAGCAAACAGAAAAGTGCATAGTCTCTTACACAGCACATACCAAAGTGCATACTAGTCCATTTGCATAGCACTTAGAAAAGTGCATAGTCTTTTACATAGCACAAAGCACAGTGCATAGTGGTCTATATACCACATAACGAAATGCATCTCAGTGTTACATAGCACGTAGCCCAGTACATAGCCATTTCCATTTCACACACAGCACATACCAAAGTGCATAGTAGTCCATTTACATAGCGCATAGAAAATTGCATTGTCTTTTGAGTGTTACATAGCACATAGCCAAGTACATAGCCATTGCCTTTCCATTTCACACACAGCACACGGAAAAGTGCACAGTAGTCCATTTACATAGCACATAGAAAGCTGCATAGTCTTTTACTATGCACATAGCACAGTGCATAGTCGTTTGTATACCACATAATGAAATGCATGCTGCTGTTACATAGCACATAGCCCAGTACATAGCCATTTCCATTTCGCACAGCACCATAGCACAATGCAGGTAGGCATTTCCATAGCACACAGCGCAATGCATAGTCTTTTACATAGCACGCAACAGAATGCGCAGTAATGTTCCGTTGTCCCTACTACTGGTTTTTCAGGTCTAAGCAAAGGTACAGCTTGTCTTCGCATATTTGTGCATGTTTCATATCCATGCGCATAGCCATTTGCATAGCACCAGCAAAGTGCATAGTCAAGCTACATAGCACCCAACAAGGCAGATAGTAAGGTTACACAGCATGTAGTCAAGTGAATAGAAAACGTTACATAGCACATAGCCAAGTTGACAGTAACGTTTCATAGCACACACTGCAAAGTACATAGGCATGTTGCATGGAACATAGGCAAAAGTACAGAGTTATTTAGCCCGCCAATGCCATAGCTTCATGAAAGCGTCAAATAGGCAGTCTATTCCTGCCGCTCCCCAATGAATAAATAGACAAGGATTTTTTATTGATTTATTTAATTTTAGTCACTAATTTTTATTTTATGTGAGGAACAAGCCCTCAAGGGGCCATATCAGACATCACATTGTTCTGGGCTAAGGCCCCCAGCAAGCCAAGTGCCCGCCCTAAGTGAAGGCGGGCCTGAATATTCGTCAAAGGCAAAATTCGACATTTCCATATGTGGGTATTCAGGCTCTCGCAGCACGCCAGTTGGTTGGGAAGACGCGTGAGCCTCACATTGCTGCGTCATACAGTTGGCCCAGACCATTACAGTTGCGCCTGGGCACATACACACAAAGCAGGGCCGATACATTGAGGGGCAGGCCGTCGGCCTTCAGAAAAGCAGTACTGCCGACGCATCTACCTGGGAGCCCTGCGCAGATGCAGCAAACGGCCCAAGTCCGGAAGACCCAGGCCGTGCCCAACTAGAAAGGGGCCCAGGCCCTCAACTGTAAGTCTCGGGCCCGGGCACAGGGTCTGAGGCCCAACCGGAAGCTACTGGAAGCTTCCAGCCAGGCCAATTGCAGCATCCAGGAGGCTGACACTTCCATAAAGGAAGTGAGGCAGCCCAGGCCAGACACACCGGCCAGCGCTGGCAATGCGGAAGTACTGCTGCACTTCTGCTTGATGCTGCGCTAATGCCAGGGGCGCTGACGGAGCGCTAGGAGGTGAGTGGGGCGCTGCAGGGCAGCGGGGCGCAGGCAGCCATAGCCGGGCTGCTGGGCGCCAGGGGGTGCAGCGGATGATCGGGTGGTCTTCAGGGAGTGAGGTGCTGTGTGGGGTAATCAAGGTCTGACTGAGGGTGACGAGATACGTACCTGGTACATGAAGAGAGGTCGGCGATGGTGTTGACAGTCATGTACATTGGTCTTCGAGAGTTGAAGTGATCCTGTTGCGTGAACCAGCTGTAGGTAGGCTAGTGAGGTAGAGTAGGCTGGGCGCCGAGCGCCAGACAGGAGAGAGCGACTTTGGATACTGTGTTGGTGTGGCCTACGGGCTTGGACATTGGCTCATTACCTCATTGTATTGCTCTATATGGATGGTTTTCTCGGTGCATTTGTACTCTCTGCTTGGGACACGACTACTTGTTCAGCTGTGTGATTTCGCAACTTGGTTTTATGTATATCGCTCACACTCATATTCCTTGCAATTTGGTATCGGAGCTGGTTGATGATCGCCGCTTACCTGGCACCGGCGACATTGTGACTTGGTGCGCTGACGATGCTTCATGTGCAGTGAGGATACTTTGCGCTGGTTGACTAGCGGGGCCTAGGTAGAGAGGCCAGCCGCTGGAAGGCTGTGGCGACAGCAGGTGTATGCATGAGGATGAGAGTATGCTGACGTGGCATTTTGGCTGAGGTGGCACTGCATTGCATTGTGGGTGGTACCGAGGCTAATGACCGGTCATCGAAATGCACGTCGGCCCAATTGGTGAGAAATCTGTGGTTGGGGGCAGCTATCTCCAGGTACGTTGTTCCCATTCCTTATCTACCCTCTCAATCTCTTCTTACCATGAGGAAGTGAGTCCAACTTGAGTGTCCTCTCTTTGGTGAGGTGTCGTGTGCGCTCTATCTTGAGAGATGACATTCTTCCCGGTGGCGCATCTGGCAGGAGAGGGCGGTGCCTCTGAAGGGCCCTGGTCGAAGCACGGGTCACGGTCACCATGCCAACCCATGGGAGTAGTACACGCAGGCCATGCTGCTTTGTCCATTGAGGCTCTTTGCTGCGCTGATAGAAGGGGTGTGCGGACTGACCAGTCCTATTGAGACGCTCCCAGACCATCTATAAACATTTCTGGTTGGGGTCTGAACTGTCCACTGGCTGTGATCGTCGTCCTGATTGCGACGTTAAAGAATTCCTGAGGACTCCAGGGGCTGTTGATCAGCCAGATCAGTCAGACGCAAGGCTCGTTGCACGCGAGGGTAAACAAAGGGGCAGGCTGGTCATAAGCATACTTCTTGGGCACAGGGGTGGGCCGTGGTTGCACACCTTAGACACCGCAGCTTGATGATGCATATAGGTACGTTGGATACAGGGGAAGGGGATTCCAATTGTGAACTCAACTGGACATCACTACCATATCCATTGTGCATACATCTGCTCACATTAGTCTAAGTTTTATTTTGATTAGTTGGTTGACTGACTGCTGACACCTAACAGACAGACTAGAGTAGGACTGTAATCTACCATAGTCAGTTCTTCTCGAATCTTCTGTGCAGAACTAATCATGATAGACTTAGACAATGTGTACAGTTTGTGTAGATGCTGTTGATGCCACTTGAGTAGTAGACTAGGTAACTCGCCGGACATTTATTTAATTATTTACTTTTAGATCCGGTCAGACGCATGCTGCGGGAGGTTCCAGCGAGGACATTAGTGCAGACAGCGTCTGCCTAACCTATGAGTGGATCAGAGGGTGGTGAAGGTGTAGATGATGATAGGAGAATAACAAGGCTATCATCCCTTAGAATTCCGAGAGTGTTCCAGACCCTACAACCGGGAGAAGAGAGAAGATTAAGGGCTGAAGCTAGGGCTCGTAATCTTGAGGCTGCAAGAGAAGCAGCAGCAGCTAGAGCGGTAGCAATGGCTACTGCTGCAAATTCAACTGGTCAAGGGCTAGGCATGCCGACCAGTTCACAGTCCACCTCCAGTACGTCAGGGGCTGGCACTAGTCAGATGGCGGGCTCGCAGTTCAGCTCACCGCCTCCACGCACCCGGGAGCAGATGGAGCTCCAACAAGTAGAGAGGATCCGCTTAAGGCTAGAGGAGGAACTTAGGCAAGCTACTAAGAGAGAGAAAGAGATAAAAGAAAGAAGTGTCAGACTAGAGAGCAGGGGGGCAGACTTGGCTGCGCTAGAGGGTTTAGATGACACGACCCTTAACTCTACAGGAAAGATCCTTAAAGCAAGTGTCTTATCCATGCATGCGTACATAGATAGCAAGATGGACGCCATGCAGGATACCCTAGACCAGATTATGCAAGCGCTACATAAGCCAGGGATCCGGCCAGCAGCTTTACCATCGCTGCCACTCTCAGCGATGACAGGCCTCTATGCCGCTCAGTCTGCACCACCACCAAGTATTACATCAACAACAGCTCTATCTCAGACTGTTGCTTCTTCATCTTCCGGTCTAGCGACTGTTGCTACACCACAGTCGCCACCTGTCTCACAATCGGGACAACAATATCCTTGGTATCCCAAGACCCCCCTGAACCCACCTTCAACCTTCTCAGGAGACAAGAAGGATGAGGCTCTTGACACGTGGCTGAGAACGGTGCTAGTGTGGGTGAGGGCGAAGAGGACATTGGTAGAAGAGGAAGTGATAACGGTTGCATCCTACTTAGAGGGTTCAGCAGCCCGCTGGCTAAACGGATTAGTAGCTTCCAAGGGGTTCGGCAGTAACATGGGAGATTGAACGCGGACTTATACCCTGGAGAGCTTTATGGACTTCGTGGAGGCTCGTTGGCACAACCCTCAGCAGGCACAGACTGTCACTGATGGGCTCTTAAAGCTTGATACTAAAAAGTACAAGTCTGTGCGAGAACTCACCATAGCCGTAGAGCGCCTGATCGTCGTCCCAGGAGTGGAATACAATCCACAGGTCTTGCTGACCATGTTCCTGAGATGTCTTCCCACAGACATTAGGAATTTAGTAGCCAGCGAGGCTCGACGCGAGTATCACACTTTTGAGTCATTCAGCAAGAAGGCCCTCGACTTAGAGGCTACGTTGGGTGGAGCTCAAACCCCTTCTACGGATGGAAGAAAGAAGAAGACTCCACAAGAGTGGAAGAAGAAAGGTAGTCGATTGATGATGGTTGATTCCGACGGGAATCAAACCGAGATCGATGATGTTTCTGAACTTGTGGAAGGTTCAGAGTTTGACGGCGAGGAGAGTGTTGAGGGTAGCAACCTCGCCGCAGTAGTTAAGACTAAGGCAGCAGGTCGCGGCAAGGGCGGTCAGCAAAGGAGTCAGGGGCAGGCCGCCAACCCAAACAAAATAGCAGTTTGGGTTAGGGCAGGCCTGGATCAAGATGTGTGGTGCGTTTCAAGAGATGGCCAAAGCTATTGACTCCTTAGTCACCCCGAAAACGCATCCGGACCCAACTATACTCTGTACGTTGGATGTGTCTGAGGCCTTACAGGACCTTCAAGGTGAGTGGTCGGCAAGGGACCCTTGTGAGTCCTGGGTGGCACTGAGTAGAGGTTCTAGAGGCGAGCACTTCGTTGTGGAAGTCAATGTGGGTGGTCGCAAGTGCGGCGCCTTCGTAGACATTGGCTCCACGTGAAACTTCATAAGTCGCGACTGCGTTGACAGACTGTGCCTAAAGGACCGGGTGCAACGCCTTAGTAGACCGGTAGCATCTACTTTGGCCAACAAAGAGCTCATGATGGTGGAGGACTACGTTAAAGATGTAGTCTGCACCTTCTCCTACCCAGGAGGAGAGATAACCATAAAATATCATTCCTGGTGAGCGACAAGTTGCCCTTTGACATGTTGTTGGGCATGTACTACCTCGAGGTTGCCAAGCCCCAGTTTGACTGGGACAAGAAGGTGTTGAAGCACGAGTTGCCTAGTGGGAGAACCGTGAGACTGACCAAGTACAAAGCCAGTAGGTTAGTAGACTCCTATGGGTGCTTATGCGCATCTGCCTTTTACAATTATTATAAACAGAACCAAGAGGAAGGAATGTACTTAGTCTATGTCTCTGCAAAAGGGGAGGCCATTAAAACACCCCCAGAGATAGAGACCATCGTCGCCAAGTACCCTGATCTGTTCGAGGAGCCTACAAGAGTCGTAGACAGGGAGATTGTCCATGCCATCGAGATCATCCCAGGTAGTAAAACACCTAAGGGAAGAATCTATAGCATGGCTCCAACCGAGTTGGACGAAATTCGGCGGCAACTGAAAGAGCTCACAGAGAAGGGTTGGATTCGGCCTAGCACTTCCCCCTTTGGCTCACCAGTATTGTTTGTTCCAAAGAAAGGGGGAACACTAAGGATGTGCATTGATTATAGAGGCCTCAATGCCATCACCGTTAAGAACACAGAGCCTCTACCACGCATCGACGACCTATTCGATAGGGTGCAGGGATGTAAGTACTACACAAAGATAGACTTAAAATCCGGCTACCATCAGATTGCCATAAGACTAGAGGACCAGCACAAAACCGCATTTCAAACCAGGTACGCCCTTTGGCCTTTGCAATACGCCGGGTACATTCCAGCACGCCATGAATAGGATCTTCCATGACTACTTGGACAAGTTTGTTGTCGTGTACCTCGACGACATACTTATCTTTAGTAGATCTGTCGAGGAGCATGCTCAGCATGTAGACACAATACTTCCACTCCTTCGACAGCACAAGTATAAGATAAACGTAGAGAAATGTGTGTTCAGTCGCACTCGAATCTTGTACTTGGGTCATGAAGTATCCGCGGATGAGATTAGGCCCGAAGATGCAAAGGTGGCCACCATACGTGACTAGCCAAGACCCCAGTCTGTGACTGAGGTCACATCATTCTTGGGAATGTGTGGTTATTATCGCAACTTCGTAAATAACTATAGTACGATCGCATCTCCCTTGACTGATCTAACTCGACTTGATACACCATGGGACAGGACCGACGAGTGTGAGGCAGCTTTCAAGCGTTTGAAGCATGCTCTCATGCACCATGAGGTTCTCATGGTACCCCACCCGCAAAGGCCATTTGTTGTAACCACTGACGCAAGCCAATATGGCATTGGCGCAGTGTTGGCTCAACAGAACGGGAAGAAGTTGAGACCGATTGAGTACATGAGCAAAAAGATGTCATCAAAGAAGTTGGCAAAGTCCACCTACGAGAGGGAACTCTACGCTCTTTACAAGGCACTTGTCCACTGGAGGCACTATCCGTTAGGAAGGTTCTTCTATTTGAGAACTGACCATCAGACCCTCAAGTGGATCAAGACTCAACCAGTTCTCTCCGATGCACTCAAACGCTGGATTGAAGTCATAGATCAATATGATTTCAAACTAGACTATTTGAAGGGAGAGTACAATAAGGTTGCCGACGCGTTGTCTAGGAAGGCAGATTACCTAGGTGCACTGATTTCTGAGTTTGGTCTATCTGAGGATGTAACTCGATCTTTGGAGGGAGCCTACAAGAATGATCCCATCACGTTGGACATCATCAACAAACTACAAGCTAAAGACGAAGGCCACCACTGATGAGTTTGTGATGGTGGATGGGTTGCTCTTTCTTGAGAAGGCAGGGTTTAAAAGATTAGTGGTTCCATCTCGGGAAGATTTGCGTAGTTTGTTCTTAGGAGAATGCCACGACGCAACGGGACATTTCGGCTATAAGAAGACTAGTGCTAACTTAGTTCAGCGATTTCGGTGGCCTAACATGCTTGACGATGTGAAGAAGTACGTGGAGACCTGTCAGATCTGTCAGCGGGACAAGCCGCGAACTCAAGCTCCGCTTGGGTTACTCAAGCCTTTACCCATTCCTGCTGGCCCAGGACAGAGTATCTCCATGGACTATATAGATACTCTCGTGACCAGTAAGAATGGCAAGAGGCACATCTTCGTCATAGTGGATAGGTTCACTAAGTACGCTAGACTAATCGCCATGCCAGAGACTGTCAGGACTAAGCACGTCATCAAGTTGTTCATGGACAACTGGGTGCGTGACTTTGGACTTCCAAAGACGATCGTTGGTGACAGAGATGTGAGATTCACAAGCAAGATGTGGAAGAAGGCCGCTGAACAGATGGGCAGCTAGCTTCAAATGACTTCTGGGAATCATCCTGAGGCAAATGGGCAGGCTGAACAGATGAACCGAGTGGTGCAGCATCTTTTGAGGCATTACATCAAGCCCAGCCAGGATGACTGGGATGAGAAGTTACCTCTCATCAAGGCACATAGCATAGTGCATAGTCAAGCTACATAGCACCAGCAAAGTGCATAGTCAAGCTACATAGCACCCAACAAGGCAGATAGTAAGGTTACACAGCATGTAGTC